CATGGCAAGGGTTCGGCTGTAGGCCGCAGTAAAGCGTTTCGGGACTTCCAGTGTTGAAAGATTCGAAACTAAACTGAAAGGTTTTTAATAGAACACAGGGTTCATCTACCACCTGTTTCATGAATCTGAATGCCAGCTTACCTCGTTAATTTGAATTTTTTGCTCCTATTTCTCAGATAGGTGACGGGTGCCAACTTTTGTATGGGTCTACGGCATTTTTGCACCGAATATTAGTCCGTACCACATGTCCTTGAGCATTTTATAATGGCGATGTCGCTTTTTGTTCCCACATTTTGGGAGACGTCCGTTAGGAACTATTTTGGGTAATCGATTTGCCGCACGCGGCTGTCGCGGACCACTCATTCGCTGTTACTACAGCTCTAGCGTTCTTCATACAGCTCAATCGATATGCGATTATTATTATTATTTATTATTCTACTATTAGTACTTTTGTTCTTGTATTTCTTACCTACTGCTGCATCCTGCTACATTCCTTCGCGCGCGACGCCCCTCTCACCGCACGCGACCATTTCGTTCCTAACGCATCACACCCCACATTTTGAGTGGATGCACTCGTAGTACCAGCGTCAGGATGGCGTTGTAATCGCTAGCTGGCAGTAGATATCTCGTTGATGGCTGGTGCGAGTCTACCGTAGACGGAAAAAAGGACGATTCTGGTGTGAGCATTTTATTCTGATTTTCACTTTAGTAGGGAAGTAAGGTTTTCTTTTATTGAGAAGGTATTCAAGCATAAAAAAGCAAGTTTTTTTTCTAAAAGTAGCATTTAGTATTAGTAGTATGAGAGCAATAGCACAAATCCCTCAACCACACTAATGCTATTCCCTGCTTTGGCCTCAGTGAGTGTATTTATCGCTCAGGTTTTCTCGGACTATCAACTATTCAAAACATCTATTTCATTTAGTTTTCAGACAGAGAACGACGGAATCAGCTGGACTCTCTTAATCGCAGTCCATCCGGATGGGAAGGAAGAGGTATGGTTCGATGCTGATGTTGGTCACCAGTGAGGTGAGGTGGGCCATCTATCTGGATAATCAAGAGGAAAGGACCAAAATGAATAGGTGTCTTTGAAATAGCTCCAGTGGAGTCAATCATAACGTCGAGTAAAGTCCTGCCCGCTAGACGCTCAACACAACAGGGAACTTTGAGCATTTATTTCTCTGTTAGAAGAAAACGGAGAAAACTTTCAATTGAGCGACATCACATGTAAAAGTAGTTACCTATGGAAAACATAGGTTATGAACGAATGCTTACCGGAAACAAGTTGTCCACAGTCACACAAAAGGCATGAGTATCGATCCAATATGATTTGGTGGAATGAGGATAAACGCATATGGGCGGATGTGTGGATGGTTGTAGCGAAATGAATGGCGATAAATACCCAAATACGTGTAATAAATAGAAAAAAAAAGATTACAGGTAACATATTCTTCTCTAAGTAATCTATGGGAGCATCATTGATCCGTAAGCGCCAAGACTTAGACTTGTAATAGCGATAAATAATATTTACAGAGCACAGATAACAATAGAACCAGTCTTTTGGAAGTCACGTAGGAGATAACTGGGATGATCATGTTACATACCTGAATGCACGAATTCACAAACTTGAACCGGGGCAAGCCTTAGCGATAAATAATATTTACAGAGCACAGATAACAATAGAACCAGTCTTTTGGAAGTCACGTAGGAGATAACTGGGATGATCATGTTACATACCTGAATGCACGAATTCACAAACTTGAACCGGGGCAAGCCTTCAGTAAACAAAAAGACCGTCGTACAAGATGATCGAAAAAATAATTGAGGAACAACAAACAATAAAAAAAGCGGCCTAATGATACTACATATGAGATTATTACATTGTAAAAAAGGTCCGGTGTGCCTGATGTTCTTTCAGTGAACTTCAAATAACGATTATAGGTCCGTAGGTCTATAGAACAATGAATCAAGTAAAATCAATGAAGTGAAGCCCACGCAAACATGGCGCGATCTCTTTGGCAGGAGAATATCACTCGGTCTTCATAAGTACATGACTTAGCTTAGCAATAAGAGCAGCATCTGCTGATGTGAGATCGAATGAGATACTCGGCTTCGAAGGCAGCAACATCGTAGTCGATGTGGGGTGTGTAAGCAGAATTTCAGCAACTCTAAAAATATTAATAGAATAATTCACGGGACTTCTGTTTTGAAATCTCATGATCATTCAGAGATGCCTCAAAAAAATTTCTTCGCAACGTTCACTTTGAAAAATCGAAAAACTCTGGCATAATTGAAATGCAAAAAATCTTTTAGCCCTAAATAAAGAGTCAATTGTTTCTAGGCAAGTTTTTTTTTCTAGTCTGGCAATATATCCATCCATGATATATATAAACCGCTAACTTTGTGTGTCTGTTTGTATGCCCGTTTGTGCGTCCGCCACGTAGGCACGATAAGGATTCAGGTGAAATAACATGTAAGCTTGGTGGAGAAGTAATATCCTA